ACTAGCGTGACTGCCTTGTTGTCCCCCGGGGCCTAGGGGAGACTGCATCAGACGATTTGGGCAATTCCGTTTGAGATGTCCGGTCTGTCCACAGGTATAGCAGGCGTAAGGCTAAAAACGCCCGCTACCTGAGGAGCTACTACTGCCACTGCTGCCACTGGTCTGCGGACCTTGTCCCGGTACATTGTCTTTCTTACCCATCTTCCTCGATTTTCCACTCCCACCTGAACCTTTGTATTCCCCATATGTACTGTTCAGCTCTGCCTCTGCTCGCTCTGCTGCATCAACCAACTTAAGAAAATTGTTTGAAGCAGTCGAGGCTATCATCTGCCTCAGTCTAGGCCTCAGGTTTTTCCAGAATTTCTCACACCGCATCATGGGATCAGCAACAGCACTTGGATTGTAACGGGATAGCTCGATAAACCGTGCATGGTACTGCGTCACTGTCATATCACCCTATACCAAATCATCAAATTCCCTGATCATTCTTAGTCGGTGATTCTCAGGAATGAACGATCTCTTGAAGAGGGCCTCAAACTCATCCCAAGAGAGGCTAGGTATATCATAGTCATCTCCTTGGCTCTCTAGCCACTCTTCTGCTTTCCCTTCAAACATGTAGGTCGCAAAGTCGACACAGTACTCTGGTGGGATACCGAGAGTCCGGAGTTTCTTTTTAATACTCTTCAGCCATTGCTCTGCGGCTACCGGATCAGGCTCGCCAAGAAATGTGGGAGGTTTCTGCTTCATGAACCTCTCAAGCAATGTCAGGCGTTGTTGAGCAGGATTTGGATCCTGGGGAGGATTCTGAGCATTTTGGAATGTCTGGAACATAGCAGCAAACTGTTCCATATCAAAGGCTGGGGCAACAGGTGGGGGATTGCGCCTCGGTGGCATGCTTTCAGATTTGACTGTGAAAACTTGACAGAGTTAGTACTGATGATGATCCTCAAACACAAAAGGAGTAAAACTCAATAAAACCGTTTAAAAGTGGTGCTACATTCCCTAGGTTTCCCAACCTAGGCTCTGATACCAAAATCT